CGAAATCTGCAGTTGTTATAAAAAAAGTATGACAGTAAGGGGCTATTAAATATTCATCATAAAAGGAAACTCGGACTTGTCTACTTTCTTTCTTATTTGGAGAATAATTTACGACGTTCCTTTTAAACTCCGGGGGTTCATTTTGAAGATTAGAAATACATTTATAGACGGATTCATCGACTTCTCGTCTCACGGCACGCTTTGCGGTATTGTTGGAAAAAATTACTAATGATAAAATTATGGAGAAAAGAAAAATTTGACAGTCGACGAGAATAGAGAAAAATATGGAAAATTCCATTCCTCCCAAGAACAGAGCAATAAGATTTTATGTAAATAGAATGGACTTAAAGTTGAGCTCACTGTCTCCAGTAACGTTGTAATTCACCATAAAAACGGGGATATTTCTTTCTTGAATTGTTCACTCATGTAATGTAAGCAATATGGGAGACCGAAATGTAGGTAATATCCTTCGACGAGAAGTTTCGTCATTAGCAGCCATTGTTTCATACAGTGGTTAATATGTCATGAGATGTAATGCTTTTGTGGGAAAATCTAGTAGAAGGCAATCTGGAGATTAAAATGGATGACGCAACACTCCTTAAATTGTTTGTGCGATGCAAAAGGTATTAGGATCGTCAGTTAAGTTAAGAGAGAATCTTTTCCTTAGTAAGAGGAAAGAGAGGTAAGGGAGACCTTTCTTATCTTCACGGCCTTCGGCCAAAAGTAATTTCGTAAAAAGATGCTTCAAACGGCCCATGAAGGCTAAAAAATATCACACACTCGTCGATTGACATTTCATTTAACTTTATTGAGATATTCAGACCGAGATGTAATTTGAATGGGCATTTTTCAGAGTTTTATTCATAACCCTCATAGATTTTGTTCGTCCCACGTCAACAGTTATCAACCACGAACACATAGTGTGGTCTGTCTGTGCTTTGAACAGTACTTTGCACATTCTTTACCACATGTTAACAAAGACAAACCTTCCAATCTCTAATCCGGATTGACACGAACATGGTAATATTTATGAAAACGTAATACATGTACATATTAGCTTAACTTTCAAAACCAAACATTCTTATCAATAGGGTCTTTTAAAGGCAAATTTGACTGTTGGTTGTGCAAGAGCGTTGAAAACTCGTTTCCCATGGGAGGTCGAGTAAGCGTGTTTCAACTGTAAATAATTTTCGGTTTTTAAAAAACCAAGCGACTCTTTTCCCTATTTTGGGCTTTGAGCTTTGCAGACAGATCTGATCGCTGACCTCTGGATGACCCCAATTGAGATATCTATTTGCCAAACGTGATCGCTGTATTTGTCCTCACACCAGACAAACAACAGTGTGGCATTTTGTCAAGAACACTTTCTGTACGGATATTCACTGTTTTTTCCCATATGTCATCTGAAAACTGTGAACCTCACTAAAATCTACCTTCGCGTACCTTCGCTCAAAACATGCCACCAACGAAGTCGCCCAACCATCTGCAGCGGAGATAGATCAGTGGCGCTCCAAGGGTTCATGGGGCTAAAATATAATAAAGCTTCCACTTCCTCATTTTCAGCCACACAAGTTGCTGTTTCCGTTATTTTTAGAAGAAATAAGGAGGAATTAATGGGGCGACGTAGAAAAAGTCGCCTTTTTATTCCCTGCCCTTCTCGATTGCCACAACCTTAAAAAAGCAAACTTCTTCTGGTTGTTTAGCATGAAACTGTAAAAAAAAAGGCTTTAAGCGGAAAATAAAAGCAGCTGCTCAGTTTTGTCAGTGATCCTATAAACTATGTTTTAATACAGCAAATGCAAATGCAACATGCAAATCCGGAAATATAATTTCTTGCAACCGCGCGACAATTTGCTAAATGAAACGCGAACTGCCGGAGAATAAAGGCACTGATTAATCTGATGATAATGATGAGTCTTGATTGAAAAAAATTGAAAACATCACCCTCAACAGACGTGAGTCTTCACGGTCGAAAATCCACAACAATAGACGGCACACGTTTCGCCTGCTTTCTTTAATGTTTAACTTCTAGTGGCTTCTCGAAGGTCATTGTTTACATTTCAGGGGAGCTAACAATAAGTAGCTAAATTCTATTTTTTAAAATGCAGCGTAATCATTTGAAACTGTCTACTTTCATGGACGAAATTGTGCGAAAATGAGTTTTTTACCGAATCTTAAGTATCTAGTACTCTAGATCGCCAACCCTAATAAATAACCACTTTAGCAGATAAAAATATTCTTTCTCGCGAGAATTAAAGAAAAAAAATCGAATTCGGATCAAAGTAAACAAATCGTCTAAGGAAACTTTGGAAGTGCTTTTCTCTGCTTGATTTTTTATTTTATTTTCGAACCAATTGGCCAAACGTTTTCGAATTCGGGGCACAGAAATAAACCAATTCCCTTGAAAATTGGCAACGTGTTACTTATAAGATTTTATCAAGTCAGTCTGCACAATATGTGCTGACTTTCTGAAGACTGTTTGCCGAAACAAGACGCAAGCACTTATTAATTGATTAAAGGCACATGAACGGTGACATGAGTAGTTTTCTCTTTTTGTTTTTAGATTGTCATCTGTATTTCCGAAAAAGTTTATTATCGAATTATGTAGTTTACAAACTTTGAAATGATTTATAGTTTTATAAGGATTAACTCAAAGCATTCGCTTCGATTGTAATTTTCTGTGACCAACCAGTGAGAGTATCTTGTGACATTACTAAAACACGATCACACAAATGAAATTTTATATGCTATTGGATCTGGCCCCCAACTTGCGTGGGGTCTCCCAACCAATATAGCTTTTTGTGACTACTTCCATTTACGTTTGTTACTTAATTTAATGTCGGGGAATGAGCTGCATCACCACAGCCCAAACCCTAATAATTTCAGAATAAGAAATCATACTAACAGTAACCACATTCCAAATGTAAACGAAAGGCAAGTGATACTTTACTAACTGACTAACAGGCTCAGAAAACTAACGAAATACTTCATAACACGTTAACATGGGGCGTGGGAAATTCCTGTCCGGATTTTTTGCCTCTTATCAAAAGGGAAGTTGTTTTCAGCCTTGTGAGGTACTTTTTTTTTTCCTCAGGACCTCGACCTTTTATTAATTTTCTTGAGTTTTGTGCGACGTACTCAGTTGGGATTCTTGTTTGTTTGATTGTGCCGAAGTTCGCGTTTCCAGTTGATCAGATTTTATTCGTGTATTTTTTTAAAATCGCTGCGGACAAATTCAGTAGCATGTCAAACCGTAATTGGACTATTATTGGGTTTGATCATTGTATGCGTGCGTGTGCGTCTGTGTGTGAACGAGCAGACCACAGCTGGTCAAACTGGTAGATAGGCATGCGGAATAATGGCTTTTAGGCATGCTTGCAAAGATGAAAAGAATGGCCAGATAAAAACTGCATGAACGAGGAATTATCACGGAAACCTTATGGTGAACTTTGAGAACCTAATCCGAACTTCCGCTCTGACAGTTAATTGGTTGGTTTATCAACATCTCTTTTGGTCAACTGTTGCTTTTTTCGTTATATCCTTCAATTGAGATTATAATCAAAGTTGTTCAAGTGGAGTCGGTGGAAATAAGAAATCCGGCTGTAAGTGGCCATGACACTTAGTTCGCTTATACTCAAGGCGGTTCTTCTAGGTGTTCTGGGCGCTCTGGATAGTGGACGGAGCACTCGTGCGTGTTCAGGTTGGTGTGAATCCACCTTAAATATGTCCCACTGATGGTGTCGCCATCTTACTCTGCAAATAACTCAGACAAAAATATAGTTTCCTCACAGTAACTCTTACTGGTAGTTAAGACTGACTGTAGCACAGGCCTATAACTAATGGAAAAAATTGTAGAACTTCAAATATATCTGAGCTTAAGTTATCAGTCATAATTTTTAGTTATCAGACATCAGTTATATTGTTCAGTTATTTAGTGACCCAAGGAGACTCTAATCTGTTCTTCATACCTCCTCAAGCAGGGGCTTTTTATTTTCCGTTACCTAGGGGTCAATTGTCAAGCCTGCATTAGATGTCAACATTTTCCTCACTTTCCTGATGCAAAGGCTAGCTTTTACAATTCAAACATTTCTGTAGCTTTCGAGCTCAGAGAGAAAATAAGAGTTACTGGTATTTACCCATTGATTTTTTGTGCTTGATACAAAAGTGGTGGGTATACCACATGCTTTAAAGCTTTTTCGATTAGAAGAATACCTGATATGTATGAAAATTCACAGTATAGCTATTTTTTAAAGGTAAAAGTAAGTTTGGCCTTTGTATCACTCTATTATCAATATAGTTGGTAAACATTGCTCCCCAGTTTCTACTTCTAATTTTCACCCTTGATATTTAGTCTCTATGTACAAAAAGCTTGTGTGTAACTGCATCAGAGCATTTCTGTAGGCTGACAGGTAAATTACTTCTTAGTAAGTATTGATTCTGACACACAAAATGAATTTTTTCATGTGGCAGCAACATTTTACAAATATGAAATGGTGCATTCAAATATATTGCACATTGTGTCACAGGAGTTGAGCTGTAAGTGAAAGTCTAATGGTTTCCCAAACTTACTCAGCGTTTGAGATTTTATTTTCATCACTAAGAATTATCTCCATTATTACTAAAAACACTAATCTCAAAAACCGTTCGAATAACTTATGTTAAAAATTCAGAACATATTGCTCATATTATCAGGCTCAAAACAATGTAACAGAACTCACATTATCCAAGATGACTCTTATTTGTTGTGTTTTGTGCGTAGTTTACTCTATGAAATTCTCGAGGCCCAACGCCTTACGAGTTGAGTAGATTGTTAGCTTCTAAAGCAGCTGTTTTTGTCTAGTTTTTATGTTAAAAGTAGTTCTTGAAATTTACTGCGATTGAGGTGACGAGTTTAAGGAGTTAAGATAAAAACAACACGTATTTAGATTTCAACGAACAACACCAGTACTTTTCACTGAACTTTAAACTGAGATTTAACAGAATTAACTCTCCGATTTCAGTTCCTGACATCCGTGGAAAGAATGGAAGCGAGCCCAGAAAGGTCATCAAGGTTAACAGCGGGAATAATAAAAGACTCCCGTGCTGGATCAAGATCATTGATCCGAACCAAACGTTAAAGTATTACTGGCTCAAGGACAATCAGACACTCAGCGGAGGTCATCAACGTACAGTCAGACGCTCACAGTTCATCATTAGATACCTAAGGATACGAAAGGCGAAGAAAGAGGACGCCGGCTTTTACACCTGCGTCGTGGTGAGCGACTGCGGCGAAAGTAATCACACAATACAGCTCATTGTTAAAGGTATGTGAACTTCATAGGTTATGTTCTATGATATGTCAAAGATTCAGTTGATAGATGCATCAAAGTCACTTGTCTTATTATAGCCACCTCTTTATCAAGATTAATGCGTTTTCTTTCTCTGAGTATTTTTTATGCGATTTTAGAGGAGACAAAGCCTCAAGACTTTGTGTCGTCATACATACTAATGCTAATGAGCGAGCCGGTAAAGTACACATTCACTTTGCTTGTGATATTCGTTTTCGTGTAAATCAGTTTTTCCAAGAGAATTTTTTTCTGTAAATGAGTTTTTCCAAAAAGGTTTTTTCAATAAATTTCTGAATGGAAATCCTGTTAGTTTTTCGTTGCAATTTTCTTGAAGCAAAAACATGGCAACTTTTCCTTCTCGGAAAGCAGTTTGGGGAATTCTTGTCACTTTTACCTTGTAGCGAAAAATAAAGGCTTAAAAAACGACTCAATTAGTTAGATAATCGGTTTATACCATAGCACGAGTTCGAGCCCGAGTCAAGTTTGAGTCAGAAGTCAATTTCGAGTCACCATAAATTTTCCTTTGTTTTGATTTTAAGCTTTTTTTTCTATTTTCGTTTTGAGATCTGTGTCAATATGATCATGGTACCAGGAATACAAGAACACTTACTTTTAAGCTAAAAACGTTTTTCACGGCCGTTTGCAAGGGTTTATTCTGCACTGATTCCCAGCTGCGTTCAAAAGAAGTAAACATTCCAAGGTATATACGAGTTTCTCCAAAAGATTCCGACTTTTTAATTGCACACCTCTGAGGCAGACAGCCTTTTTCAACGACAAACTGAGTAAACTGACTCAGAGTATGAAAAAGAATCGCAGCTCTGATTTACATCCACAGGGATCCCATACAAGCTATTTCATTCTCTCCTGAGCCAAAATTGTGGGGAACAGATATCATTTCTCTGTAAAACATTTGTTTTAGCAGAATGATCATGCCAAAATTTTCTTAGTTTTTCTCGTGATATACGGGTTTCGCTTGCTCAAAATTTTCGAAGCATCACAAAGTTGTCGAGCCATGTTACATAATGTGTGGACTACACTGTGTCTAGTTGGAAGCTCGAGTTCAATTTTTTCGTAGTTAGAGCATCAGTCGTGGTTACCACCGGGGTTTTGATATGTCTTGACTTTGAAACGTGTTGTAAACTTCACGATAAATCTGTAACACTATAAGCGGTCTAAGAACGCTTATCAGCGATTCAGAATTCGAGAATTCTTGTCCGTGGTAGGATCGAAACAGACCAAATAAGCTGTCTCGACTGAAGTGAAAGGTAAACAACATAGTTTAAGAACGAGTTTGTTCTAATTTTTTGCGCGGCTTCCATAATAGTGTATTGTCATACGATGTTATTTTACAGAGAGGGCAAAAATTTAAGTTGACTCGAACTTGACTTGGGTTCGAAGTTGACTCGTGAAACGGTTTAACTCTAGTTTACCGCGCAAGTTGTGTCTAAGTTATTTTATAATTCGAGAAAGTGCTATTATCGATTTTGAGTCAGAAACAACCTGTGACTCTATTGACCTTACTCTATGATTGGTTGAGAGAACTCGCGCCAACATCGCAACCCACTCGGTTGCAAAAGTGAAACCGATTACGTTTTTGTCGTCGGCGTCTACCCTTACGTCAGGCAGTTCTGACCTGTTTTATTTACTTTCTTTTTTTGAGTTTCCACAAGCTTTTTATATAATTTTCCTGTCTTGTCTGTTTTTGGGATTATTTTGATTTGACTTTCCAAGACATGAGCGAAATGTGCTCTGTCAAGAGTTAAATCACTGAGATCACTGATAAAACGGGCTATGTCATGCTACAGGTTTGTGCACTGAGCTCTTCCTGTTTGTCACTTCAGTGTGACTCATGTTTGTTTAGTCACCTTCTGTAGTGTTTGATGCAAGACAATCAATGCAATCAATAAACTGTGTCCTGTATGCTTGAAATGTAAAACTGGCAACGGCGCTGGAGATTCATTCACTGTTAAGGTGATCACTTGCACAACACGATCCTGAAGTTTCTAGGCAACGTTTCAAGGTAAAAATGAATAACGGTTGCCAATGTGGCTTTGCACTTCGGTAAATAGGGAAATGAGACAATAGCAAAACTCAAATATGCAGCAACTTGTTGTCAATATCGAGCAAAGAAGCTACAAGCGGTCTGAAAGGTTCCTTTTCTTTGAATTGCTTAACATTTTTAAGAAGGATAGGTTTCCCTTCTAAATTTTTCTTAAAAACTGTTCTTTTGACTCCTTTAGCTCAGCGCTAGGAAAAATGCGTTGCAGTTGGCTAAACATTTTCCTTCATCCTTCAAAGTTACACCACATGATGTAAACTTGGAGAACTATAATCCCAGAATTGAAGAGTCGGTAGTGTTTTCAGACTAGAACAACATCCCAGGATTTAATGGATTGTATGGAACTCTAAGGTAGTGGCTGCCATTGGCCCGTTTTTTCTTACCCGTTTCTTGATTCATTGTATGCATGCGTGAGTCGTGACGTAGCCTCTTTAACTGACTAAACTCTATGCTCAGGAAAACGGCACAAGTTTAATTGAAAGTTAACAAAAAGTGTTCAAGATTACCGTGAGATGTCGAAATTCGTGGAGGTAGCGGTTTCAATAAATAATTTCAGCGGAAATGATAGCTATAGATCTACTTCTATGGGATATGCTTACTTAGCCTGGCATGCAGCCTTAGCATATTCCATCGAAAAAGATTTACGAAATAAAACCAGAAAATTCCCTTATGTTAAAAAGTAACTAAAAATTAGAAAAAATGTGTGGAAATTCGACTTTCAGACTCCGCCATTTTTAAACTTCTCCCCGCAATCGAAAAGATTCCGTTGGCGGACAGATATGATCAGTAGCTTGATTGACTGTTTTGAATGAATACCATTCTAAAATGGAATGGAGAAGCCTTAATTTTGGCGCGGTCAAACCAATCAAATACCAGCAATGGCCAAGTTTCATGCAGACGATGTTGATATGCTTAATCCTTGGAGATAAACATTTTCATATCATTTACGGCACATTATCGACTGAGCTTTGAAAATTCATCTTCTCTTGCAAATGTTAATTCATCCACATTTCCTTGTAGTTTTGATAATACGGTAGATACATGATTTAATGAGTGTAATTAGTTGTTAAAATACAGCCTATTTTTCTTTCTTTTAGAAGCCAAAACCTGCAAAGTAAACCAGTTTACTTGTGCCGATAAGAGTTGTATTTCATTGTTTTGGAAGTGTGATGGTCGTCGTGATTGCCATGATAGGTCAGATGAAAATGGATGTCCAACAACGGCTCCTCTGGTTTGTTCAAAAGAAATGTTTCGCTGTGATGGAGACTGCATACAAGGTCATTTGCAATGTGATGGAAAAAACGATTGTGCAGATGGATCCGATGAGAGAGGATGTGGTGAGTGTAGAAATAGTTCATTCATGAATGAGAAGGTGTGAAAGATGCTTGTGTTAAGAATTTTTTTCTCTGATCAGAACGAAAAAGGAAATACTGAAGTTAAGGAAAAATCTATCGATAAGTTTTATAAAAAGTATAACTATTGTTTTCGACCAGACATTGAATATTTAAATTTTCTTGTGTCTTATGCTGCAGCTGCACCCCAGTTGAGGCGGTCGTCTCCTCCAAGGCTCGTTGAACAAATGCGACAAAAGGAAGTCAAGCTGATCTGTAACGTGAGCGATGCTAAAAATTACATTTGGTATACGAATGAAAGAAAGATTCATCTGCCCTCTGATCGGTATTTTGTAAAATCACATTGGTATCTGCAAATTACGGACGTTTTTAAATCGGACAGTGGAACGTTTGTTTACTTGGCCTCCAGTAGTTATGGAAAATTAAATTGCACAGTGAGGTTGATTGTTGAAGGTAAGAGTTTTTGAAATTTTGAGCAAATATTAAATTGGGTTAGTTGTTTGTGTGATGATTTGATTTCGTTTCCGCTTAATATAACAGAAAAAGAAAGAAAATGAAGTGGAGGAAAAATCTATCGAAAGCTGTCTCAGTGCTATTCTTCTTGTCCAGCTTTTGAGTTAAAAGGAAACGTTTTGCAAGGATGATATGAAAAAAAGAAAGGGAATTTGTCTATTAGCTCAGGGGTATTGGTCATTGAAACTTGTTGTGTTGAAAAAACAGTTTTTTTCTTTTTTCTCAGATCCAACAGCTTCACCTACAAATGTTTTAGGAGGTACAGTTCATTGATATATTATATAACTTAATTACTTCTAGTTATTATAAAGCAAGGTAGTCTTTAGGTAGATCAGAGCGTTCTGATCGGTTCTTACTTGGTCGGTATTTTGCCATACGGACCGTTTCCACGGAAACGGTCATACGCCGTGTATTTTTGGTTTTGATAAGCAAGCAAATTCTAGAACAAATTTAACTTTATAACCTCGCTTGCTCGAGCCACAATGTGGAATATTGTCCCTCAGTCGTTTTTTTGGAAGGACCTCGCTGCAATTGATCCATACTGCCAAGACCTGGGCCAATATTTCCCAGTGCGGCCCTTTCGCTCGGTTAGTAAGAAGTTTTTATCTCAGGTTACAAATGCCGTAATTGTGTAGCTCCTTACTTTTGAAGTAGATCGTCAAGAAATAATAAAAGAGTAGTGTCTCTGGCATGCGTCCTAGGCTGCCAAGGCGATAAAAATGCGGGGTTTGTGGTCATATTCTTAGTGCATTTGAAGAATGTTATCTGAAAGTTAGGCTGCTATTTAAAATCTTAAATCATGTTCAGTTTCTTGATTTCAAAAACGTTTTGAAACGGCGCCGGGAGGATGAAAATATTGTGGGTTATGAAGCAAACTTCTCCTGCTGAATGGAGGAAATTTGCATGACCACTCGACGATCATTTCGTGGAAAGTAGATTGTAATACATCTAATCAGTTCATGTTACGGAGGTTAGGTTAATCTTAAGCTGTTCAACATAAAACCACTAGAATAAAATACTCTTATGGCAATAATCCAAATTTCGCTGTTTCTTTTGAGCCTGCCTTAATTCAAGGCTGAATGTAAGCGATGTATCACAGTGGTTACTTTCAAGTTGTAAATATTTATTTAAGCTACTAATATTTACTAAAGTAAGTAATATTTATGAAAGAAACTCCCACGTCGCTTCGCTGTATTTTTTAGGTTCTAATCCTGAGATATTGAAAAAAAACAGGATTAACAGGATGCGAGATAGAGGACGAAAACTGTAAAAGGAAAATCCATTTCAAACAAACTAGCTGTTCCTGTTTTTAGAAACTTGGATATAACAAGCTCTGCTTATAATAAGTGTTGGCCTTATTTACTTTTCCAAAACTTTCAGCTCCTTTCGGTTGCGAAAGCTTTAAAAAAAAACCTTGCCGGGAGAGCAAGACAACGAAATTAGGTACGTTCCTACTACTTTAGTCCCTGGACGTTTCCAAACAACCAAATATTGTTGAAGTTACAGGAAACTATTAGTTGGTTAATCATAACCATTACAATTTCCTCAAATGTGATTAGTGCATTAACGCTTTATTTTTCACTAACTATTTTGTAGAGTTGTAATCGGACAGTGTAACATGACAGTTGGCTGTAATCGGACACCTGTTATCTGACAGTTGAAGAAGCCAATCGTACTTAGTCCACTAAGCTAAATAAATCAACTTATAACAGAATTGATCAAAATACCCATAGCAACAACCACTTATCCTGAGAAAAACTGGGGAATTTCCAGTATGGAGGAATATTTAACTTTAGACATTTGTTCTAGATGTATCTTTTTTCGGAAATCGTGATGGTTATGATTAATTGGTCGTGATTAACTAATCGCTTCGCGGTCGTCCGATTTATTAATCACTCGTATTATTTCAGACCGAATTGGACTCCACTTGATCCTATCACCACTATGAACTGTTATAATTTTCTACGAAATGTATGCGACGCGTTCCCATTTTTGGGTGAATAGCTACAATACACACAGACTAAGGTCGTTCTCTATTGTCTTAAAATGTTACTGTTTCCGTGGATATCACCGATATTCTTAATAGCTGGACCAACATTTGGGAATTTAGGCAATGGGTTCGATTGAAAACCTATACTGCAAAACTAAAAGTGGAGAATCGAGACATAATGCGAATGGCTAAGAGAGCAGAGTTCGAGGTACAGTCATTTCCTCCAACTTGTTCTAAGAAAACACCAGCTCATCTCGTCAAAACCATGTGCCCAGTGTTGCCTTTTTTATCTTCTAGTTCCTCCTGACTTCTATTGCTTATAAAGTCTTTGATGATTAGAAATGATAACCTTGAAACGTATCTCGTTCCTCAGATGAGAAGACTCGCGATGCTCTCGTCCCCGGAATCGTCTCGGCAGGCGTGCTAATTACCGTAGCTGCTTTGTCTTTTATCTGCTGGCGCCGTCGATCTCGAACCAAGGAGCCCGTGAATGGTCCAATTTCAGTGTCAGGTGAGGCTTACTTGGAAGAGAGGTCGGCAGTTTTTTTAGAGGTTTAAAGATCCTTTTTAATTCTTAATTTGTGTAGGCTATGTACTGAAAGCCGAAAGCTCGGGTGTTTGAGGCAGAGAACATTCTTTGGTCACATTATGAATTTTAACCTTGCAAACCTTTATTTTTAATATTGTTAAGGTGATTCCTCAATTTTGAACTCTGCATCTTGTATTGGACATAAAAATCACGTAATCAGGCAAGTAAGCGCGTGCATATTCCGAGAACACGGTATTGTTTTTCAATAAGGGGACTGGGTAATGAGATAGGATGGTCTTTAGCTCGTGAACAAGCATGGTGACCTATATTTTTAATTGCATAATTATTGTGTACAAATTTTCCCCTTTAAATTGGGCAAATTAACAAACATTCATCGAATTGGAAAAAAAGATATTGCTAAAATCGTGCACAGTCTGTTACTCGATGATGCAAATTATGACTGATAAACGACTCGAGGAACGTTTTGAATTGACGTCGTTTAAAATTCCGTGATAGTTTCAAAAGTTACATATCAAATTGTTTCATACGCTCAAGACTTTCAACCTATCGAGTTTTCAGTTTTAAAATGTTACTTTAATCACCCTTGCTTCCAGCTGCAGCAAAATGTGCCGCGAATCGATGAAATGACGCGCATGATTAGTGCCAGAACAGGCATAGGTGGGGTAAGTTTGGCCCATCATATCTCTTAAACGAGCACGGTGACCTACCTTTTAAATTGTACTTTTCGAAACAAACATTGGTAGGGAACATTTGAGGAAAGTTAAAAAAAGAATTGTTCGATAACTTGATTTTTTTTCTGAGGAATCACCTCAACGGGTTTTGAGGCAAAATCTGACTTCAATAAATTTTATACCATAGAACTCTCAGCCAACAACATGTACTTATTTTTGCTTTCAGAACTTGAATTTGAATACGACGCGTTCGTTATTTTCAGCTCCCAAGACTCGGATTGGGTGACTAAAACTCTAATTCTAACTTTGGAAGAAAAGCACGGTCTTAAATGCTGTGTACACTACAGAGATTTCGTTGCCGGAGTACCTTTTCGTGAAAATATGGTCAACAGTGTATACAAGTCAAGAAAAACAATAGCTGTCGTGTCTAATAACTTTTTCAATAGCAATTATTGCGGTTTTGAGATGGATTACGCCCTTCACCGACTCATGGAAAGGAGAGATAACAGTTTAGTCGCCATCAAACTTGATGATGTGGACAGAGGAAAACTCCCAAAGGAGCTGCGAGAAAGGAGCTTCATAGACCTTTCAAAGAATGTTGAAAAGGAACACTGGGAAAGAAAATTGGTTAAATGTTTAACGATTCCTAACGATTTGTCACAGGAACAGATTATGTAACAAGCTTTTGGATATTAAGTTTTAACTACTTTTGTATGTGCGGTAACTAACTCGAAACGTGGCGCTGTATAAGTATATAAATAAATATATGTTATTTGCCGGCTGGGAGGTCCGTATGGTGAAAAACTGTGACCGAGGTCTTGAAAATACTGCTCGAGGCCGTAGGCCGAGGGCAGCATTTTCAAGACCGAGGTCACAGTTTTTCACCATACGGACCGACCCTTAGCCGGTAAATAACATATTTATTGTTTTTAAACTTGACGAAATTCTTTCCGAAAGAACCCGAATGATTTATGGACGTAAATGCGGCAAGATCTTCCATAAACTGAGCAATTTTTGAGTGGGTAAATGGTAGTTAAAATAGAGGTGATGCAAATTTAAGAGAGATGCCTCAGCGAAACATTTTCATTTCCGTAACGATAAAGGTGATTTAAAAGGCTTCCAAACAAACTTTGAAACATTATTTTTACAAGTATCTGTCACAATCTGACACCTGTCAATTAGAGAGCGCGCAAGAAAAAAAAGCGTAAGAACATTTGAAAACAAACAGAACTAGTTTGGCAAGGACTGTTACGACAATGTTTTCTTCAAAATCAGTTAATGATCTAACGGAAAGCATTATTCACTCTCATCGACCATTCATTCATGTACGAAGATTTACCTCTGTTCATTAAGTAAACGGCGAGGAAAGTAATTGTGAGTAAATTCAATTTTTTTACTTTGAAGTTGTGAGAGTTTGCTCGTTTGTTTGCTTCAATGGCGTGTTTAACTCTGGTCTTTCCTTCACAAAAACTAAATTCGAACGGCAC